TTTTGTCGCAACGGGCGGTGTTGCACTGTTTCGGGCCCCAGGACCCTCACGGATCGATCCGCGCTCTGGTCGGGGTTTTCTACGAGGTGTGGCTTTCCTCGTGACGTCGGATCTCAGGACACGCTCGGGGCGCCCTCACATCCTCTCGCCACGGGAGAAACACGACGCAGGGTTCCTGCAAATCTTCTGCCTTCGGGGGCCTCCGCTGGGCCCTGGAGACTGGTCAACAAGCTCCTCGCTTAAAAACCTTGTTCTGGAGAGGGCGTCTCGACCTCTGGGGAGCCACGCTGAGCAGACATCACGGCGGAGGACGTCTGGGTTCGAGGATCGGGGTGGGGATCGCGGGCGAGGGCCAAGGCTTGATCGGGGGAGGCTCGAGGATCGAGGGCCGAGGAGGTTTCCGGAACCAGGAGCTCGGAGGATACAGGGGGATCGCGGACGAGGGTCGAGGCACGATGAGGCTCCAGGATCGAGGGCCGACAAGGATCGAGCGTCGATGAGGTCCGAGGAAAGGGGACCGGGCCGCGTGGCGAAGCCTGGCGGCGCGCAGGTCGACGATCGAGGACGAGGAGGTTCGGATGAGACGAACGAAAAGGAGATTGAAGATCGAGGGCGAGGATCAATGCTGCGGATGCTCTTGGGCGTTTGGGGCCCCTCTTGGGCCTCCTGGAGCGCTCTCATGCACCCTCGTCGCCACGACTGCATCTCCCTCGACCTTCTTGGCGGAGCCCACCCCAGCCAGTGTTCGACCGCGCGGCCCCTCGCCGCATCACGAAGAGACTTTCGGCGCACGGATCGTGAATCCAGGACGAGGGGGCTGGAGGATCGAGGAGACTCGAGGAGGCGAGGAGGCGAGAGGACGAAGGGCGAGAGTTTCGAGGAGCTCCGAAGGGGGGTTCGAGGATCGAGCTGCGCAACGACGACCCGCGGCGCGCGGCTCGACGATCGAGGATCGAGGGCGAGGAGCTCGGAGGCTCGAGCTGCGGGGACACGTCTCGCCCGCGGTGGGCCACGGAGGGGCCCCTCCTCGCCACGAGCATGCCGGAACGCGCACGCCGAGCACGGTGAGGACGCTTGCCGACGCGTGCGTAAGACAACACCGGACATCCACACGAGGGAGAGAAAGAGAGAGAGAGAGAGAACACAAAAAAAACCATGCACGTGAGCCTACCCAGAAGGCGTCCCACCAGCGCCCCCCGCTGGACGCCCCGGTGAGGGCTTTGGGTAGAGAAGCAGTTGGTAAAACACCTAGGGCCTGGAAGCCGGCGGAACTCCGATCGTGGATCGGCATTGGATACGGTAGAGGGAAACAACTACTGAACACTCCCCCCAAAAACTCAATGTTGGCACGTGCGGGGGAGACTGCGGTCGAAGTGGGGGGAGGGGGGGGGGCGTTGACGGATGAATGTGGCATGTGTTCGCTAATCTGTTCCGAGGCCTGTATCACCGCCGCCTCCACCAGATAAGGACCCCTCCTGGGCCCTTCCTCCACCAGCCCCCGCACCGCACCAGGGCGGATCAGGGGCGCCGACTGCCCCCTGGGCCCAGACCTCAGCGACTTCGACACGATGACTGAAGGGGCCCCAGGACACAAATAAATACACACAAATAAAAGGATTCCCCATATTTTCCCATATTTTCTGGGTTTCTGTCTTCCCCCCCACTTCCCATATTTTCCCACATTTTCGGGGAATCGACAAATAATTGTGTCTGTGTGTTTTTTTTTCCCTCCTGAATCACGGCGGCAGGCTTTGGCGTTTGGGGGCTGCTTTCGGGCCCCGGGCCCATCACGGACGCGACGCGAGAGGCCGAGAGTGCGGGACGGGGAGATGACCACAGCCACTGCTTATTGTTTGCGCCGCCTTCCAGCCGGCCGAAAAAGAAGCAGTGGCTGTGGCCATTTCCCTGGTACCAAGCTCCACGAAAATGACCACAACCACTGCTTTGTTTTTGCGGGCTGGAAGGCGGCAACAAAAGAAAAGCAGTGGCTGTGGTCGTTTTCGCGCCCCGTAGAGAGGCACCCCAGGCACCGAGCAGAAACCACGCCTCGATCACCCACCGCGGGCCGCAGGCCTGGTCACACCCGCCAGGCAGAGAGCACGCGCCGCGCACGGAGGCCCTCCTGCCGTGAGGCCGACCAGAGGCCCTGAAACCAAAACATCGGGCGTTCGCAAGCGGGAGGGAAGCAACGGTGGCACTTTGGATGCTGTTAGTGGGAACGCTGCTGCAGTACTCGATTCTCCTCGTTTGTTGCCCCGTCCCCCGCGCTACCGCGGGCGCCCAACAAACGTTGGCGCCTCGCCGTTTTCAGTAGACTCCGGCAAGAGTACTTGCGCAGCCCGGAATGAAATCTGGCCTCCGCGCAAGTCGGGACTCACTTGCACGCACTTTCGGGGCGCAGCGCTGCTCGAAGAGGCGGCGGGGGAAGGGGGGGAAATGGCATGCAAACACACGCGTCTGAGGCTGTGGCTAACATGACACGCCATCCGATGTGTTACTTCCGCTCGCCTCCACCGAAGGGCCAGGTGGCCTCGCCTTACCTCCCTTCAGGTGCGGACCACCTCGGCCACGCACAGATGGGGTTGTGCCTCCTGAGCTCGGAGAACCAGCCCTGCGCACTGGCTGGGATCTCCTGCGCTCTAGAAGGAAGAGAGAAACAATGCCTGTGGAAGACCAGCGAGCACCACTTGCCGGAATATTTTTGTGCTTCGGTGAATACCGCACCGAAGGCAGTCCATGGTGCCAGCTGCAGAATCGGCGCCCAAAAGCGGGCGCGAGCAGCATGGGAAAACGTGGCGCTGTCGAGAAGCCACCCCAGCCCGCCCACCGGGACTGGTCCATCGGTCGGCTCGCTGGCACCTCCGCCTCACCACGGCCCGAAGAAACCGTTGCCGTTCGCGAGCACCGAGCCGAAGAAGAGGATGGTCATGATGACGATGTACGTGCCGCTGTTCGCGGGGTCCAGGCCGAAGTCGCCAACTGGCGGCGGCGGGGGCGTGGTCGTCACGGGCTCAAAGTTGAAGAAGTGCATCTCCACGGCGGGGGCGCGCTGCCCGGTCCGGAGGCCCGCCGAGGCTGGGGACGAGGCGCCGACAAAGGACAGCACGACGGAACCCACCGACAGAGCGGCGATGGCAGCGACAGCGCAGGCGATCAGCAGGGACGCGGCGCGGGCCATTTCGCAGAATGCGTGGGGCAGCGCTGCGAGATCGCTTGGGAGAAAAGTCCGCGAAATACAGCTTGAACCAAGAGGATCGCGGATGCCTTACCTAGACCCCTGACGGCAGCGACCGCGTGGGCGGCACTGCGAGGGCCGGCTCAAAATCAACCCTTGGACCCTGCTCGGCACCATCCGCAGTGCGAGCAGCGGCTACACGGACGGACGACCCCAGTACCTTGTGACTTGCCGAACAGAACAAAAACAAAGAAGAAAATCAGACGAAGGCAAAAAAATAAAAAAACAAAAGCAAAAACACAAAAAACATGCGAGCAGCGGCTACACCGGACGGACGACCCCAGTACCTTGTGACTTGCCGAACAGGCGCTGGGCTTCTACACGAGAAGCGAACGAGCGGCACGCACAGTTCGAAAAGGCGACGCGCGTACCACTGGTGCTCTCTGTCCACCTCGGCCGACCCGCCGAGCAGAAACGCAGGACGGCAACGGCGGCTGCAGAGGACGACGTCTCTGCCCTCGACGTTTTCCCTGATGGCCCGTATAGACGGACCCGAAGAGGAAGAAGCGGATGAGGAGGAGGAGGAGGAGGAGGAGGAGGAGGAGGAGGAGGAGGAGGAGGAGGAGGAGGAGGAGGAGGAGGAGGAGGAGGACGAGGCGTCTGGAGGCCGCTGAGGGCAGCGCCGCACAGCACCGCCAGGACCACAGCGGCGGCCAGGCTCTCTCTCTGCGCGGGCCGCTCTGTGCCCGCCCGGCAAAGCCCGAGAGGGGCCCTCGCCGCGAGCACGGGCGGCACGGGAACCACTGCGGGAACGCAGGGGGGCCCCGCCGTCAGACCCAACCGCCCTCCACGGTGGTCGCCGTGCTCCCGGAGCAGCCCACGGCAATGGCGACACCGCCCCCAGCGAACAGCGCGAGGGCGGCAGTGGCAGCTCCGACAGGCTCCGACAGGCCCCGCCGACGGCGGCCGACCGCAACACAGGGCATCGCGTCGTGCACTTGCACAGCGTGGACACCCAGAGGTCTGAACCTTTTTGTAAGGGGCGAAGAG